GGGAGAGATACAGATCCAGCCAAAAGCCCTCTTACACATCTGCCTCTCCAGGTGGGAGGGGCATTGCTTAGCGGGAATGCCTTGGTCACTTGGTCTCCTTTTCTTCCCAGAGCAGGTGCAGTCAGAGAGGAAGCCCAGGCCAGTGCCTCCTGCGGGCAGCCTGCCTACAGGGTTGGGGGGCTGAAACTATGCTCAGGAGCACCTGAGCCATAGCCCCCTAGCTGGCACTGGTTAAGTGGGGTTGAAGGCCACCTTACCTGCCCCTCACAGTACAGTTACTTGAGGGCAAGAGTGGTCAGAAGAAACTTAGCATGCTCAAAGGCACTGCAGGAGAGGCACGAACTCCACAGCTGCAAATGAGTAGGGGTTTCCAATCTCTGCTGGGAGTGGTGGGTGGGAGAAGGGTGGAGAGGGCAGAAATGGGGAGGCCCGCTGGGTGTAAGGAAGTTCTCGAGGTGAGGAGGGGATGAGTCAGGTAGCATTGGGGAAAGGCTGGGGGTATTGGGGGAAAGGCTGGGAGCACGTGGGGTATTTGAAGAACTAGGGTTGGAGGGAGGGAGTGGAGCAGGCAGCAGCTCGAGCGAGGGAAGGGAGGAACGTGCAGGCAACTAACAGGGTGTGTGTGTGTGTGTGTGCGCGCGCGCGCGTGTGTGCGTGTGTGTGTGTGTGTATGGTGGGGGGCGGGTTACTTTTGGGTGGTCGGAGAGAGTCAGGAACACGCGGGGGTATCTCTGAGCGGCGAGTGGCAATAGCCGTCGGAGGGCGGGGACAGAACGGTAGCTGCCCTGCCTGGGACGGGGGTGGGGGTGGGGACGGGGACGGCTCTTTAAGCGCCGGCCGCGCTAATAACCTGTCCAGGAGATGGCTCGTGGCAAATTGCTTTGTTAGTCTTGTCAGCGCGGCCGGGGCCGCCGTCAGCTCGCGCCATGGATCAAGATGATGAATCGCCGCGGACGGCGCAGATGCGGGCGGCCAGCGGTCGGGCCCCCGGGTAGGGGTGGGAGGTGGAGGGGGCCGCGGGGGGCCGGGTCGCCGCCATTAACTCCCGAATTAGCTCTAAGCCGCCCACCACCCAGCCACTGCCCCGGGGAGCGCCAGCCGTGGGGGCGGGAGCGGGCCCAGAGACCCGCGTCCCGCACCCGAACCTGGACCCAGCCTCCTCTGGACGCAAACAGCAGTGGCTGCTCCGGAGGGGCGGGGAGGGGCCCGGCCTCCAGTTTCGGGCTCGAGCCTTCTTCCCGCAGCCCCGTGTTCCCGCTCTTTGAGGACGTCTCCTGCCCGCGGGGAGGTGCTGGGAGGGCGGCCCCATGGGGCATTAGCTGACCCCACCCACCTGGCCCCAAAACCTCGCTGTGAGCTGCTTGGGAGACTCCGAGTTTTACGGGGGTGGAGGCGGGAACGGAGAGAGAAACAGAGAGAGAGGGACAGACAGAGGGTTGGGGTGGGTAGGGTGGTTGGGTTGGGCGTCGCTGCTCTAAACTGAGCTCAGAGACTCGCGATGGTGGGGCTGGGGCCTGACCTGGGACTTCAAGGGGACCTAGGCCCCTAAAGTGGCTCTGGGCAGACAGCGGAGGCCCTGTGTTCTTTGAGTTTCCAGGCCAGTCGGGAACCTGTGAGCACCTAGTTTTCCCAAGTTCCTAAATCAACCCACCCCTTCCCCACTTCCCCATTAGTCCAATTTAGAAACCTCTCTTCCAAAACACACACACACACACACACACACACACAAACAAACACCCAGGAGTTTACAAAATCACACAATCCACAGAAACACAGTCTACATTCACAAGTAAATGTGTATACGTATATATTACACACAAATATCGGAGTATATACTTATATGTATTCATATACTCAGAGCACAGAAAAATGAATTCTAACAATATAAAAGCACATCCAGAAATGCACCACTGACTGCAGCCCAGGGAAGTGTATTGGGGGCAGGTCCCCAGTTCCTCAGGGGACGCCTTTCTCTTAAGCCCTTTGAAGGTGTCAGCCACATCCCTGGGCAGGCGGGTGGGGCGGCTCCAGGAGGAAGGCCCTGAACCATTTCTGCTTCTTAATTCCTGTCTAGATGGTGGCACTTTCAAAATGGTTTTGTGAAATCACTAAAACCCACCCACATTGTGGCACATCAAGCTTCCCTGCGCCTGGGCCTCCCTAAAGGATGTGTTCACTTTCCCTGTCCTGTCCTGTTTTCCTCTGGACTTTCCATCCCAGCAAGGGAGCTTGCTAGGGATTTTTGTTTTTCCCCCAGCTTTGTTCCCACACCCAGGAATCTACAACCAGCCCTGAGCACAGCCCTTGGCTGCAATGTCTGTGAAATGTGTGGGGATAGGAAGTGAGTGAGGGACTGCAGCTCTCTCTGTCCATGATGTGTGTCCCTGTGAAAGTGGATCTGGCCTGTTAGTGTGGGCTTCTCCAGGTATCCGGGGATCTGAGTTTGTGGAAGACTGGCTGTATTACGAGGCTCAGGGCATACTGCCCACCCAGCCGCACACCACCTCAGACCTCCGGGATGGGGACAGCTGGCACAGGTGGGAGCCTCGGTAGCCTGGGATAAGAGGCAAGCAAGGGTTTCCCAGCTGGACTTAGAATCTGTGTGGTAGATGACTTCCTTCCAGAGCGAGTGCCTGGCTGAGCCGCATGCCCCACTGCCTCAGTAGTCCTCAGCCAACCAACAGTGCTTGTGCGGTTCTCAAGCCGCCTTCCCCCAGCTCCGGCAGGTCTGGTGCACTCAGGCCAGGCTGAGTTGAGGTCATCATTCCTCCAGCCTGCCCTTCAGCTCCTGTGCTGTCTGAGGTGGGGACCTAGGGAGGAGGTAAGTTGGAGTTGAGTCCCTGGGCAAAGAAAGATGATGCCCCCTCCTACTGGAAGGGGAGACCCAGTTGGGAATGGGGGCAGAGGGGACAAGGCCTACCTGAGCAAGCCTTCCTCGCTCCACCATTAGGGATGGCGGGGAGGGATTTTGGTGCCCCCTCTTTTGTTTCTCCATATGTGACCCTTCCACATGTGCACCCGTGCCCCTGTCTGTGTGTGTGACTGAATGATGGTATGTGTGTGCAGGGGATTGCAGTTTTCTCCAGAATCATCTGTGTGCCTGATTATGTGTGGAGGTCAGCCAGGTGGGGGCGCAGTGTCCTTCCCACCATCTCCCTGGCTGATTTGGAGCGCTACTGGCAGTCCCGATCATCTAAGCCAAAGAGGCAGCCTTGGTTGCCCTGCCCTTCCCTCCCCTCCTCTCAACTCCCTCTCGAACAGGGCCAGGATCCCTGAAGAGAAATTAAAAGGTTATTTAAAGCCCCCGCCTCCGCCTTTCTTGTCCCTTTAAATCGAGCCTAAACGGTTTTGCTTTGGCAGAAGAAATCTTTTCTGGAGCTTTGGGGTGGGGGTGGGGGATCCTGGTGGGAGAGAAGGGTCTAAGCGGCCTAATCCTCTTACCGCCCCCTCCTCTCCCCTCCTCTCTCTTCTGAGGCCCACTGCTCCCCCCACCCCCCCTCAGTCATCAAGCCCCTAACTCTGACTGAAGATTGACCCCAAACCTCAAATCTGACTGTGGCCCTTTCTGCCCCACCCAGGCCAAAATTCCTGATGCCCTCAACCCAGGCTGGGGCCCTAAAATCTACTGGCAGTATTGGCTAGCCAGCATCAGCTCCTCTCAGTGCCTGATCCACTAAGCAAGCAGCCCAGCTCCCAGGAGCTAGACCGGAGAGCTTCACTTATAGACCAGGGGGACTGCCAGAACCAGGGTCCTGCTGCTTAGGTCCCAAGATTGAGTGGCCACCCTGTGCGCAGCCACCTGGATTTGCAACTACGTTTGAGCTGAAAATTGCACAAGGACTTGCTACACACACACAAAGGACTCAACACCATAAGAAACCCCACAGCTGCACTTGGATTCGTGGTCATGGGAGCACCAGTCACAAGGGCACACTCAACATGTGAGTCACAGTTGCAGCCACTGAGGCCAAAGGCTGGTTGCACAGGGTCCCTTCCCCACCCACCCCACAGCCTCCACACACTTGGCCAAGACCTCTCCAGCCATCTCCACACAGCCACATCTACAGAGCCTCCCAGAGCCTCTATACAGCAACTTGCCACCCCTGCATCCACTGGCAGTGTGGGCGTAGCATACACCTGCCTCCTGGCACACAGCTTAGACACACACCTTTTGGGAAGCCGAGCCTCTGCCTGGTTGAGAGCCGGCCCCAGAACGTCCTCTTCCTGTGAGCGAGTTCCCGCCTGGAGGAAGCAGAGCGCTGGTAAGAGCAGGACAACCTCGGGCCCAGGATTTTCCCAATGTGAGCCGGTCTCGGAGTGTGTTTGTCCCCCCAGTTCCGGCGACAGGTGCCTGTGCTGTGTGTGAAGCCGTGAATTCAAGCCCGCAGCCTCTCGGCCCAGAGGCCGACATCCAGCTGCCAGACAGGTGAGCGGCTGCTAGGAGCGCCAACCAGCGCACCCGCGGGGTGTGTGGGCGGCGAGTTCAGAGTGCGGGCTGTGGCGCTGCGTGGTGGCGCGGGGGTGGCAGTGTTGCAGGTGGTGTGGAACTGATGGGGAGGGGTGTGTGTGCGTGCCTATGTGTGCGCGCAGCTCCAGACCAACCTTGAAGGGGCAGTGAGGCCGGAAGTCCGTCGGGGCGTCCCCAGGCCACCTCTACAGACCCCAGGTGCTAAGCATCGGGTTGGGACAGGGGAGAGGGAGGTTTCTCAAGACCTTTCAACACCCCAGGGATCGGCCTGCGGCTTCCGCGGACCCAAGAGAGGCAGAGATCCCAGGACCGGGAGCCAGAGATCGAGGAGCAGAGATTCGGGAGAGGTGACGGACGCGGGCCCGGCGCTCAGATCCACCGACTGTCGGGCCCGGGCCACCTTGGCCTGGAGCTGCGGCACCAGCGGGGCGGGGCAGGGCGGGAGCGACGCGTGATTGGCAGCCACCAGGGCCATTAGGAAGCGTCTGGGCCCGCGCCGGGCGCCCGGGAAACGCAGTTTAAAACTCCAGCCCCGGCCCTGGCGCGCGTAGATGGCAGCGGCGGCGGCGGCGGCGGCAGCGCGGGCCGGGTTGACCAGGTACGAGCGGGCGGGGCTGGCGGGCCGAGCTGGGAAGGGCGCGGGACTGTAGCTGCGGGGAGGACGCGGGCCGTGAGACCCCGGGGACAGCCTTCCCTCTTGGTGTCCTGTAGTCCCGGACCCACTGGGCAGATCAGAAAGTTTGCAGGGAGTCAGGGACTTGGGGACAGACAGAAGGCGCAGGGACAGAAGAAGCGGAGGGACTCCAGAAAGACGGAGAGTCGGGGACAGAGAGACCCATGGTGAGACAGAGGAAGCGATACCCGGGGCTGAAAACGGAGGCAGAAAGTGAGCAATCTAGGAAAACAGAAAGAGCGCAGAACTCGAAATTCCGAGGCAGAGAGAGCCAAGGGCGAGCCTTGGGCAGAGACGCGCCGAGGCGGAGATGCAGGCCTTGGCCCGCGGAGACGCAGGCATCCGCGGAGAACGCCTCGGATCCGTCATGGTTTTGCCTCATTTGGAAGATATTACTTCGCCCCTGAAAAAAAAAAAATACAAAAGAGGTTTGGATATTAAGCGGAGACAAATCCTTCTTAGTTTGGAAGGGGGCGGCATGGAGAGGGAGGTGGCCGGCGTAATGCTGAGCAGATGTGGCCCGGGGAGTCGCGAAGCCTGGGGTGGAGGCTGGGGAGGGGGCGCGGCCGGCAGCCCAGTTCCCAGCCCGCAAAGCGCAGAGGCCGCCCACACCTCCCCAGCTTCCTGGTCCACGCAAACCCCGCAGTGCCCCGGGCATTGCCCGGGATCTGGCTCTGGTCTCGACTGCGCGGATCCTGTTCAAACTCAGCTGCCACCAAGTGCGCCTTTTTTTTCTTGATTGCGATTCTGCACAAATTTTCCAATTGAGGTCGGTTCGGCGCTCAGCCAGCCTCTGCTCTCGTAGACGTGGTCTCGGGCTAGGGTCCTCCAGGTGGGTGTTTGGGGCGCAGTGGCCCTGGTTCCCTGGAATTCGTTTTACCTCCCGAGGCCTCAGCCGGCGTGGATCAGGTGAGCGCCGGTGGGGAACGGCAGGCTGGGGGCAGTCACCGGAGCGGCTCTCGGGGCGCTTCTAGGGGAGCGGTCAAAGCGTTGGGGAGATGGCCAGAGTCTTTCCTCTCTGGACTTCCCACACCGGATGGCCTGGCCGTAACTCGGTCGTGGACGACGACAGGCCAGGGGCCCTAATAGACTATGCAGGGTTCCAGGCACCACCGGCTGAACTTTCTGACGGTCACAAATTCCCGGAACCTGTGCAGAGGCTTCGGTGGCACTGGTAGTGCACTTAAGAAGCTTGAGAGAAACCTCCTTTTCCCCAAATTCGCACCAAATCTGGGGTCCCGACTTTTCCTGGATTCCAGCCACACTCAGTTTGGGAGGCAGTGGGCTCCTTAGGCTTGTGATTTGGGGCAGGAAGGAGTCCCAGAATGGGGAAACAAGGAGGATGAGCTCCGAGGCCTTTTCACCCTCTTTCCAAGCTTGCAATTCCCCAAAGCGGAGAACCCTCGGAGCCTGGGGCACCTCCGATACTTCAATCCCAGGCCCCAGAAAGTCTTTTTCGTTTGACAAAAGTTCTCCGAGGCCGCGGCAGGCCAGGCCGTTGCTGGTTTTCTAAGAGCAGCTCCGGTTTGACGACATTGGGGAAAGAGGAGGGCTTTATTGACTCGATGGGCCTCGGAGGAAGGGGCTGTCGGCACCGCAGGGGTTGTGTGCTCCACATCCGAGGAAATTGTGCAAGTTCCCAGCTGGCTGTGGCGATGGCAGGACGACCAGAGTCCTTTCCTCTCTCTAGTGCCGGGGCTCCTTTGCGCTGCAGGCGGGTCAGCTCTGTCTGAACCCTTTCTAGGAAGTTTTGTGGCCTGTTAGTTTTAGGTGGGCGTAGTGGGGGTCGTTTTCAATTTTTCGGGGATTTGTGTTTCACTTACCTTCATCCCTTGTCCTCCCCTCAAGCGGAAAGGCACTTTGGCCTAAGGACCAATGAATTTAGTTCCTACCTCCCCTTTCTGCAAACCAGCTGTGTTTATGTATATGTCTAGATGTTCAAAAAAAATCGAATTTGCTGCCTAGTGAGAGCAAATTATCTGGATAATTGGCTCAAAGCTCTCTCCTCTATGGCTGGGGTAGACACACTCTTGGGAAAAGAAGCAGGGCATTGCTACTCAGGAGGGGGGTAAACACCATACCCCACCCCTGCAGACCTTGGGGGCACCAACTCCTGCAAGGAGGTGGGAATTTGGCAGCCCAGACCCTGAACGGAATGCAGAACAGAAGGGCAGAGGTACAGAGGAGTGGAAACCCGCCCCAGGCGAAAGGCTATGATGAAAGGCAAGGACTCGTGCCTCTGGAAGGTCTCTGCCGGATAGCGGGCTTATGGGTCAGCTTCACGGGCATCGGGTGAGTGTCTGCAGGATCCCTGCACCCCTGTCCTGGCCACTTTCACATGCACAATCCTATGTGTTTGGGAAATATGAGCTGCTTCTCCATTCTTAAACATAACTTGCACTTGACACACTGCGGGCACACACCCATGCACACACTGCTGATTTTGAGCAGGAAATAAAGTTTCCATCCCCTCCTGGGCCTGGGCGCTCTGGGAGCATACAGCCTGGAATGAGGAGTCCACCATATCCCTTAGTGTCAGCCTCCCGGAGGCCAGGGGCCTTCTGAGGAGCAACCCATCTGGTGTGACTGGAGCATAGGGACATTGCCGGCGGTTTTTGAGGGAAGGGGAGAACCAGATCCAGAGGCGCAGTCCCCCCTGTGTCTGAATGAATGCTGTGTGTGCACACATATTTGCCAGCTGTCTAAATTGGCGGTCGTACACAGACACACATATAGAGGCTGACAGGCACACAGAACGGGACTCCTGGGTTAGAGTCACCCGGGCTATGGGTATCACACTCAGACTCACTTTGAGAAGTCACACAAGAAGATGCACAGGCAGATCCACTAAACCACACAAAACCCCTCTGATAGACACAGTTCCGTACTCACAGGCTAACCTCACACAGACAGACATGCCAACAAACGCAGATACCCGCTAGGGCAACAGTCCCAAGCGTCAAGGCCCTGCTTTGCGCAGAAGCCCCACGCAGCCCCAGGCAGGGTGCGTCTACATTTTTGCTTGGCCTCTGCGCTCCCTATTCCCGCCACTCTCTCCGGGCCTTGAAGCTTAGTCTCCTGGCCGGTCCTAAGTCCTTGAGGAGCCAGTCTTCACCTCCCCCACCCCTGCCTTCCCATTTTGCCCTCAATTCCACCCCTTCCCCACAGACTCGCTCGGCCGCCCCGCGGTGCCCATGTAAATGACAGCAATAAATATCTAATCAAGGCCCCGGGCGACGCCACTGCTGCCCGCCAAAGCCCATTACCGAATGAGTGTGGCGGGGGAGCTGGGGTGGGTGGGTGAGCTTCAGGCGGGGCATGTGTTCTGGTCTGCACATTCATCCTGTGTTGAGTGCCTCTTCTGTCTGCCCTTGAGTGAGTCTCAGTTTCCCCTTCTGTGAGAAGGGCACAGAGCCGGGCTGTCCCTTATCAGATTCAGTGGCCTCTCTATTTGGTCACTTGTCTGTTCTTCCGAGCTTATTTGACTCGGCCCCAGTGTTGCCTGATGGGTGGACCTCCCAGTTTGCACGGACCACAGATCCCAGTTTGCACAGACCAGAGCTCTGGTGGCTCTGGCCCCAGCTGTTGTTCGGACTTTAGCCAGGTTTTCGCCGGCAAAAGGGAATTCCCTGGATAGGAGAGCGGCAGGAGGGAGCACATTTCCCCGAACGGTGTCACTCCTTCCTGCCAGTCTACTGCCACTGTGGACATTACTTCAATGTGCCCGAGGCCAGTGGAGCCGACTGGATTTCACAGCCCCCTCCACCATCCACGGCTCTATCTTCAGGGTGTGTTTGCATCCCCAATGCGCTGTACATCTGTCAGTGTGCAGAGCTGTCAGTGTGCAGAGCAGGAACCGTGCTTTCTGTGCCCGAAGAACAGAGCCTCCTCCGAGTTCCTCCAGCCATTTGGAGGCCCTAACTTGGGCTTGGAACAGCTCTTCTCCACAGCGGACTCTGAAGTCCGTTTCCCAGCCCCTGCTTGGATCTAGATGGCCAAGAGCAGACCTGGTCATCCCTGAGGGACTTCGGGCCAGGGCTAACCCAGCAGGCAGGGCCACCACTTCTGCACCATGGAGAGGCCCGGAACATCCTGAGGTCCTAACCTATGCCCTGCTGCATCTTAGCTCTGTCCAAGTCTCCTTGATCTCCAGTGCGCTAGCTGGATCTCTGCCAGAAAGGAAGCAGAGAATCAAGCAATTACCCAGACAACTCTACTCTCAAGACTTGCAGTCAGGTCCTTCGGCCTCCTCCACTACCTGCCTGCTCTCAAGTGCTGAAGCTGGACCAGATTCGAGAAAAAGCAACAAAAAAAGTGGCTTCTCCCATCCTATTTTCCTTCCCTGGCTGCATTTTGCCACCTTAAAAAAAAAAAAATTACCTCCAGCCGCCTGATTTCTCTGCACCCTCAACATTAAGGACCTCGGGAAGCTGGAGGACTGTAGGCAGAGGGGCCTCCCTCAGTCTCGGCCCATTAGCCTGCGGGGGGCTAATTACTCCAATTAGCGGTTGATTTATAATTAATGACTCGGACCAAGGGATAATTGGATGTTAATGGATAACAGTTTGTGTAGGAACTAAGAGCCCCCCGACTCCTTCAAAGGGCCGATGGCCGGTGGTCGGCCCTGAGACCCACCGGGACCCTGGAGCTCTCCAGGTGGGTTCTTCTTGTAATCACTGGGTCCTCATTCCTGAGCCAAGAGGGGAGGTGAGAATCTCCTTTGAGAAATTTATGAGCTCTGTGTGCCCCTTATGATGTCCAGCACCCCTTCTAACCTGACCCTTGCAAAGCCACGTACTTCTAAGTCCACCTGCCTGCCACGCATG